ATATTCAGCTCCTCAGTAGCACAAGCCACACTTTCTGTGCTGAATAGTTATGTGTAGCAAATGGCACTCATGTTGGACAACACAGATAACAGACTTTTTTTTATCACCTCAGAATGTTTAATTGGATAGTGCTGTCGATAGAAATGGCAGCACCAAACCAGTACTGCATAATACTATGCCCGATGTCTATAACAGTAAACCTGATTTTCAGAGAAACAAGTCAGAAAAGATGAAAATACTATAGAAATGTTTCTATAAAAAACACTTTAAGCTTTATATTATAATATAAAGCTAAATTTGTATGACACTAACCTCTAAGCATAATCAAAATCAGGCCCAGAATCTTCTAAAGTGCCTGATATCAGTGCCCTTGCACAAAGAATCTACAAATACTGATTGAGTAGTTAGTTCTATTTGATCATCCACCATTTCAGAAAAATATGTAATTTTAAGAGAATTCTTCCTGAAGCAAAAAAATGAAATTTCATAAAAATGTAAGTAATGACCTTTGCTAAAATTTCAAGTTCACCTATGGTTGTGCATTTATGAAATCATTCAATGTGCATACAAAGTCTTTTTATATTTCAGTATAATTTATATGCAAAAAAGTTTTTGAGGAGGTATTCAAGGTTTTGCTTTTTTAGAATGTTTTATAACATATCCCTAGTACATCATAAGTTAATAGATCCTCAGTAAATCATAAGTCAGTCTTAACTTTTGGTTTACTTTTTTAAAGTAACAGTGGGTATTTCTTTCAGATGTGGAGAACCTAACAATAAATGCTCAGCATTACTTGGAAGAGAAGAAAAAGAAAATGCTTAAAAGTTTCAGAAGTTAGTTTTCAGATCATGACACACTCTTAACTACCTGAGCGTCTTTAGCTTTGCCTGGCAGGTTGCTGTGTCAAATTCAAGGTGCACAGGCAAAGACGGAGGCAGCTTCATTTTTCAAATTGACTTTGAAAGTCTTAATGATATATGCACATTTCATGAAAACATGAGCCCTAGTATAATGGTCTGTTCTCCTTAGACAGATGGGACTCAATTTATGTTCTACTTGACTGTACCCCAGAATTCATACTTAAGATGTTTGTCATAAATATAGTTAATCTATTATTTTATGAGGGATACTAAATCTCAGCCTCCTGGATTTGGATAGATGTATGCCAAATTTATGACGGTGCTCATCTATAAATGACAGACGCTGCCAAAGCAGAAAACTATCATTTTTTCCTACTCAATACCACAAGGTCCTGTTGCTGGAAACAGAAAGGGGGGAAGAGGCAGTTACGAAGACCTTGGTAGCTAATCGATGGAGTCCCACGGCAGTCGGTGGAAATGAGAAGTTGTCATTTGGAAAACCTGGCCCCATTTGTAACAACACATAAAAACTGTGGAACACACAGGGGGACCCATAAAAACGACTAGGCGAGGGTCTGTATTTGTATCCTTGGCAGAAAAACTCTTGGACAAAATTGAAAATACTCTTTTCATAAGGCAACAGGGTAGTCATAAAAAGCTGAACTGCAGCCCTTCCAGGCAAATCACATGGATCTATTGGTTGATAACTGCTCTGGGTTCATACCCAAGAGATTGTCACCATGCAGAAGGACAACAAACATACTGAAAACTGAAAGGAGCTGTTTTGAGCTATCCTATCTTTCTTCCTTCTTATGACTTTTCTGACATGGTCATCTCATAGTCTGCACAGTATGGTCATGGGTATGGGATAAATAAAATAATCTCCATGTCCCCAATGGAAATATTTCAGATGGAATGATTCCAAATGTTACTGAAAATTTGGATAGTGTTCAGAACAACTCAACTGGACACCCTAGGAGGCTGTTTAAGGCTCCTGCCATATTGGCGATGTCCTTCCCAATGTTGACCTCTATTTCAGTCAGTGTATTTGGCTTAGATACATAATGCCTACAGTTGTCAAGCTGGAGCTTTGAGGGCATTTGTCATTTACCTGAAATGAGTGTTTTCATTCAAATGTGCCCTTGAAAAGACCTGTAAGTTCTAAAGCTTTGCTCTATTATGGTTAAATGCTACAAACAACAAACTGCATAGAAATGAAAGATTATTAATAAAGCAATGCCTTAATGGCCCTTTCAATGCCATGGCTCCAACTAAAAAATATAAACAGTCAGAAAGCAATTTAAAAGTAACATATGGCTTTCGCCATTAATTCTTTAAAAAGTGGTTTAGTGATCTGACTTTGCCCATTGGGATACTTGTATTTTCTCCCCCAAGTCAGAGAGAAGTTTAGAAGTTATGGGAATACAGAATTAGCAAGGGGCAAGGAGCCCTTAGTTTCTGCTCTAACTCACCTGGGATATGAGTTGTGGACCTCACACAGGCCATTTAACCCTTCCAAGACCCCAGGCTCTTTATTATTATCTTAGTAGCAGCTCAAGGTGGTAACTATTATTTTTCTTTGTAGTCCAAATATCCAACACAATAAAAAACACACATGCTAGGTTAGAAATTCTTTTAGGGCAAGAAAATTTCTTTCTGTTCACTGCAACAGTGAATAGAAAGAAATTAGTACATTTGGCAAAATATACAGATGTACTATCCTCCATAGTACAGTAATATATATTTATTTATTAAGGGAGTAAATGGATATGAATTTAGTTGTAAGAATCAATGAAAGATGAAAACTAATTTCAGCCCTACCAATTACAGGGTTGTTGACAGGGTCATATGAAAACTTATATGTGACTGAATCTTATAAACTGAATAAATTTAAGGTGTTCCTACTGTTATATTTCAAGCAGAACATACTGGTTCCATCATCTTTGCTCTTAATTGCATTTATAAAAATATCTGTAGTATTTTAAATCATTCCGTTGGCATTCATCTATTTAGATAGCAACTGATTAAAGGCTATTTAGCTCTAAATAGCTTTCCATGCTTTGGAGAACTAGAAATGTATTTTCCCAGTCTTGATATTTAATTGATATCTATTGCTAAAGACTAGATATATGGACCATTAGGTTCACTACCAAATAATATTTTATTATTTTTTAAAAATAAGGTTTTTCAAAGGCTCTTTTTTTTTGAACCTGTTATGAGTGGTTAAATGCTGTCACAAAAGAACATTCAATTTGATGTATGGGGCATATTATCACAGGGAGGTGTATTGTCATATGGCATTATGGCACTTGAACTCCAGGGAGAAATTTGGGTAAAGTGTCTGGCCAATATGTTCTCACCATCTTCCTAAAGCTGCCTAATGCTTGCTGTGTTTTGACCCCAATTCTCCCAAAGCACATTTCTCCTCCTTCCTACTATGCTTTGAACTCCCATTAATGTGTCATTAAAAGTTGGGATAGATCCTAGGAGACCATAAAAGCCATTTCTTTGGATTTTACATATAATTCTATGCCAACTTCTAAAACGTGAACAGGTCAGCTATTCTTACTTAACTGCCTTGAATGATACATTTCCCCCTAATCAAGAGCATAATCCAGGTAATACAATCTTTGACAGAGTATTGTTTCATAGAAGCAACAATATCCTGTAAAAAAGAGATGATGAATCGTGTTCTTCCAAACCCTGGGTAACCTCCAGCAAATAACTGCTGCAGCAGGGACCTGGCCTCAGTTTGCTGCTTTGTAAACTGGAGATAATATTTGACCTTAATACCTGATCGATCTGGGTTAAAATTATCAATTAGACTATATAGATGCTCTGTTCTTTAAAAAAGTTTGATAACTAATCCACTATGTATTACCTATTCATTAGATAACACAATTGAGTGATTCTATGACATAAAGAACAAAAAAATCTTTATTACCAAATTTGTGGTAGCTTCCTCCTAGGCTGCAGAGCTCTGGAAGCAGCATTTATGGGACCTAACTAACAATAGTCTTTTCCTACATAGTCTCTTTAGCTAAAGGGGCTTTTCTAAACTTTCCGCTTACAGTAATGGAACTTTTCTCCAATGGCCTTGGACAGCCCCAGGAAAGCATTCTGGAGTCTCTTCCTCAAAACCTACAGTGATGTGAAGAGCAGAAGAAAAGTGTGTGTGTGTGTGTGTGTGTGTGTGTGTGTGTGTGTGTAACAACATAGAGATTTCTGGATGGGCAAACTGAGAAAGGGATAGATTATTTTTGTCTCCTTTAATAGACAGTGGTCCTCAACTAGCCACCAAAACAAGATGACTCATCCTTCTTGGGCCCTGAGGGCAGATGTGAGTGTGTGAAAGTCTATTAAACATCTAGTTTCATGGTGTACATGCTAGCAAAATGAATTTTTCCTCTTCTCTCTGAATCATTTAGTTTAAACTGACTCAGAAAAACTGCTGATTCACTGGAACTGTGAAATATGGACTCTTTGTAAAAGGTACTTCTACTAGTGGCCCATTTCCAAGTACCAACACTTGTCTATTAGTTAATTCACTACTTTGTACAGAGTTCCCTTAAACTCCTACAGTTCATTTGTAACTCTGGGGGGAACTCTACAAAGATCTTCAAAAATAAAAATCTTTTATTATTGAGCACGTTTTCATATCCATTTAGTAATGCCACTCTCTCAGAAAACTTCACCATTTTGCTCCTCTATTCCCCTTTATTGTGGTAAAAGAATACAAAAACATCTATTCATAGATAAGTTTAAAAATTCCTTCACTGACAAAATCTAGAGCAAAAATCAAACATAAAACGAATAGAAAGAAATCATAAAGTCAGTATTTTAGGTCCACTTCTTGACTTTTGTCTAAACACACTGTGACCAAGCAGCCCATATATACATATATATATATACATATTTACACACATATGTACTTAAATGTATATATTTAACAACATGGAATGGTAACATATCAAATGCTTAGATTCCATGCAAACACATAACCTCCTGTGAAGGAAACATATTAATATTATAAAAACAAATCATGGAGAAGACATGCAGCAGCTAAGTAGAGGAGAATGGGGGTGTGGCAAGGGACCAGGAGAAACACAAAGAATGTAAAGAACAAAAAGTGTCATTGACCTGATTTGTCAGAGCTGTTGCCTGTGAGTGGAGTGATGGAGCAGCTGGGGTTAGCCTTTGCGCTGTCCTTGGAAGAAACCATTTTGGGTTTAGTTTTCGTTGCCTCTAGTGCTTTGACCTTCTTGGCATGTTTACTTCCTTTGTAGTGGGCCTCGGCCTGGCTCTACAAAGGAGAACAAATCAGGCTCATTTTTGGCTACTTACAAACACCACAATGGATGATCATGCAGGAAAATATACATTCAATCATATGCAACACGGACATTTACCACTCAGAACTCTCTGTTTTGGCATTTAATGAAGTGGTAGAACAGTATCTAAGGGGTTTTTGCACATCAAAACCTTTTCTTTAACACGGAAGACTTGTGTCTTTGGGAACCAGAGAACAACAGGACAAAATTGTGACAAAGGTAAGCTTTGTTAGCAGTGCCTTCCACACTGTCTGACGGGATTACTTTTCAAACATTGGCTGGTAGCAAGGTGCTTTGAGTTTCCAACCCATGCATATTCTTCCACAACCATTTCATTTTGTTTCCTCCTTCAGCTGAAAACCTGTCTGCCCTGAATCTACTTCCTTCTGGACTCTGCTCTGAGAGCAATTGATGTAACTAAGCGACTTACTAGTGAGTAAAGATGGCACTGCATTTTGGAGCCACCTATATGTGTTTCATATAACATTTTGATGATTTCAGTTCTGAACTAGGTAATATAAGCCACAAAGGGGGTAGGGACAGTCCATGTTTCTGATTTCTGATATGATTTGGAAGTCAAAGCCATTATTGTTACAGTCACATGTACATGAAGCATGGGTAGAACTGTGACTTCAATATTGGATCAAAAGGAAGAAAAGAGATAAAGACAAGTGACTTACTAAAAACCTTAAAAAGACAAAAACAAATTACTGCAAACCAAGAAAACATTTAATCTATTTATTGACATTTGGAAATATTCCCCTCTGATGAAAGAACAAGGATTTTATTTTTTGGCATCAAGTACTAATATAGCTACTAATAAAAGAATATGTATATTCACTTTGATTTCATTTTGAATAGACCCTGAAAATATAAATACCTATTTGGTGAAAAAAATTAAACATCCATTTTAAGGCATATTAGCTTACTTATAAAAATGAAATGGATACTAAACTCTCATATAAAATTAGTTTTGGTAAGAGGATTTCTAAAGTAATAACTCTTTTACATCAGTTCTCCTTATATAACTTTGTGTTTGAAGATTACTATACCAATTCTTTTATTCATTTTCCTCAGCAAGCAGCATATAAGTGATGTGTGCATATGTGTGTATGTGTGTGTGTGTGTGTGTGTGTGTGTGTGTATGTGTGTGTGTAGGTAGGTAGGTAAAACTGACAGTAGACAGAATGAGCCAGGTTATAATTCTATGTTTCAATAACGTGTGTGTATATATATATATATATATATATATATATATATATATATATATGTGTGTGTGTGTGTGTGTGATTTTTCTAGTGTACTAGTATAACCCCAATTACCCAAGGTCAGTGACCTTGTATTTACTGTACACAGTCCCTAACTTTCTGAATATCTATTCACAAGTGTTGTTTTAGATCATCATTGACTTATTATTGCTCTTTGGTGGTTTGCTTAGGGACTTCTCATTATGTATTTTGTTGAGCTGTAAAAATCCCAAGGGAGAAGAAAAGTATAACATTATTTAAGTCTTATTTATTATCAACCAAGAATGGTTAAATCCAACTAATATAGGTGGCTAGGTATAGACTAAGAAAATATACAAATAAACATTTAAAATTTGACAATGTGAAGTTATAATAATAATGAATATTATTAAGCTTTTGCTAAACATAGTTCTAAATGTATTACATGTATTAGCTCATTTAATTCTTATAATACTTTGTAAGTTAGGTTTATTAGCCAGTACATTTCAAATAAAAAACAGCATAGAAAAGTTAAATGACTTATCAAAATTCACAAAGGTAGGTGTAGAAGCCATTTTGCAGATTGAAATGCTTACATGGTATTTAATTATATACCTATACACTGTACATACACATACTCACACTGATGTAACATTACAATTTTATAAGGAGTGAAAAACTATACAAAGCACACTTTTAATCACTTAGTAAAAGATTATATTTTAATAGAAGTTTCTATGAGTAGGGAATATCTACTTAATTCATGAGAAATGTACTATCATAACATATTAGGCCTGATCCTTCTGGTGAGTAGCTAAGAAAATTCCCAATTTTTAGGTATTTAATAATTTCTATAGATATTAGGGGACCTAGTCCTCTATACTAAATAGTGAGATGTTTACTTTAGTGTCCTTTGGCTGAAGAAACTATAGTTCTCCAAATAAAATCTCCTAGCACAAGATAAGCAGGGTGTCATTTCCTCATTACTGGCATCCGTACAGAAAGTTACAGCATCAGTTAGCACTTGGGATAAAGATCCAGGTAGATGACACCTCACTGAATGCCAAGATGGAAAGAACTGTCCATAGCCATAATTCACTTTCCTTTTGAGTTGTACGCATGGAGAGAAGTACCACAAAGATTCTTAGCTTCTACTGATCATTGTTTGGGAAATTTCCTGCAATAAAGACAGTGGCAGGCACCACTCACTCACATCAGTCATCCTTTCAATGCCCCTGTGATATTCTTGGTATCAGTACTTTGCTATACCCACCACTGTCTCTGAGGTAGTATCAACAGCTTCTAAATCCTTGGCAAATCTTCAAGTGAAACAGAGACACCATTAATTAGTAACATGATTAACATGACTTAATTATCTAGGAATCTCCTTATCTGAGAAGTGAAAGAAGTAAGGACAAGAGCCAAAAAAACCATAAACTAGGCAACACAATCAAGCTCAATCAGCAATGGCTCTTGCATCACTTCTAGGAGACCTGGTTGACCAAACTGACTTGTACTTTACACTTTAATGACTAACCAGCAGACACATATTTGTCTAGCACTAATGGCTTGTTTTCTGCTTCCACACCAAAAGTGATACTGTACTCCCAACTAGAGTGATAAAAAACACACAAAACCCTCTTGCTAAGAACTTCCTGAATTAGAGAGCTGTCTAAAGCACCATTCTGACCTCCATGCAAGAATTCATTGCTATCTAGCTTCTCCTCTCAGAGGTCATTCTGGTAGCCACTTGACTACCCACTGGCAGAGAAACAGCATTGACAGGAAATGATTTGTTTTTTCTTTCATTCATATTCATTTTTGCTGCTAAAGCCGCTCACTTTCCCAAATGTTCTACAATTCTTGGGATCCTATTGGTGAAAACAAAATGATACATAACAAGATAATGTATTGGTTTAAAAATAAAAATATAATGAGAAATTTTAAAATCCACTGTGCTCTTATTTCTAGCTTTTATGTTATTTCTAATTGTGCTTGAGAGTAGTGGCTAGGCTGTTGAAACGTGTTGAATGTGTTCACTTTGTAGAGAAACTCAGAAAATGGCTGGGAAAGAAGATGTCACAGGAGAAAGTCTTCAACTATTTATTTACCAATTAAAACTTTTTTTTTTTTTGCATTTCAAAAAATAATTTGAACTATTCCCTTAATTTAAAAACATTCATCACTAAAACTATTGGCATCTTCTTTATTTCCGAGGCAAATTTCAATGTGTTAAGCAGTGTTATATGGGAAATAGCAGAGGCCAGTTAATTTTCAGAAAAACTCCATACACTAAAATGCCAACTATAATAGATGTCAAATGACCTGACATAAAAAGAGGCTACCCAAACAAGGGGAAAATCTGGTTATTTATTCCACAAAGAATTGTTTAGCACCTGTCTTGTGCTAGACATTGTGAAAGATTTAAAGCAAAGACCCCCTATTTGCATGACTGGTAAAAAAAAGACTTGCATACAAATAACCAGAACCCGGAGCCGAGAGTGGAAGTGTAAAATGGGAGGTACAGAACAGCAGAGTCTTATGGACAATGGAGGAGAGGTAAATCTCTTCTGATCGCAGGAGGTCACCAAAACTTCATGAAAAAGGGACGTGAGAGCAGTGTCCTGCTCCAGGACAGAGCTCTGAAGTGGCAGCGTTGACAGGGGAGGTATGTCAGGCAAAGGGAACAAAAGGTGCTGGGCAGTGTAGTTCTGTGAACTATGCAATGTTCCTTGAGCAATCCGCCTTTCTGTGTCACACGCGCACAGAGATAAAAGGAACAACAGGGAAGAGCTGCCACGTTGTGCTACCTTGAAAATTATCTCCTATAAAACAAAAAAACATGATACTGGAGCTGTCTGAAATTTCTTAAGAAGTTCTATTTGTAGGCACCTTGTATGGATGGATATGAAGATGTTGCCTTTATGTCACAGATTTTATCCTCCAAACTATAATAATATATTAAAAGAACAAATGATTTCTATTGAAGCTTTCATAATTATTTGAGATAAAAGCATGGGATTTGAAATGCTATAGTTAAACCTATTAAGAAACAAACTAAAGATTACTGAGTAATAGCTAGATAATTACTTGAATCTTTGCTTTCATATAAGACTATTTTAAACTATTAAAATGCTCTTTGCAAATACTTGTTGCACTGACAAGACCACACTCTCTCAGAGATGAAGCTACATTGTCAAATGCACTCAGAAGAAAGGCTTATGTAATCCAAAGCCTGCAGGTAAGTCTTTCTGTTTATACTTAAAATAAGGCCTGCAATATCAGTAATGACATTCTACTGGCTTTGATATTCACTCCACTCAATCTTCATCTACTTTGACCTGTTGGAAACAAAGTCTAGGAAAAATTATAACCATTATGAGATTTTTAGCTTAAAAAGATACAATTTATTTGCTAATGTCTAATTTCTAGCTAAGTGAAACACTCCAGGTTTCAATGGCTTGTTCAGGACTACTACATTACGTTAACTCTCTGGGGGTGGAGGGCACTCACATGTATAATTCAGTGTGGATAGTGTCCTCTGTTTCTTGCAAGGCTATAGTTCTGGCTGTGGCATGTCATAATTATTGGCTTTATAACATACTAGAGACCCAATGCATGAAGATTCGTGCAATAGGCCTTCCTTTCCCTGGCTGCTGGCACTGGTTTTCCTCTGGCATCCAGGACCTGGGGTGCAGCAGAGCCAAGCCTTCAGCCTTCAGTCTTCAATCTTCACTTGGGTGGAG